ACCGTTGCCGAGCGGGTTTTAAGCCGCCGGGTCCGGGACGCGAACCGCGGTCGACTACGTGGGAGTCCAGCGACATAGCCATTACGCTAACTGCTGGTTCCCTAAAGACGGTTTTAAGTAAGCCCAGGGCCACTTGTAGGCCGAGCCATTACTGTTGGCATCTTCCAACAAGGCCAAAGATAAGAACTGATTTCATCTGGCTCTATTCTGAGCATAAGCGATGAAGTAAGTCTCTATTGCTCTTGCTGCATATATGTTACTTAAAAAAAAAAAAAAAAAAAAGTTATTGGGCCAGCAAGTGTCGTGGTGGTTAAGGGTGCTGGACTTCCACGTGGTCGATTGTGGTTCGGGTCCCAGACCCGGTGGCTTGCTTTCAAAATCTCTCTGTTCCTCTCAAGTCCAACTGAAAAAAAAAAAAAAGTAAATAGTTAAATAATTTAAAAAAAAATTATTATTTTAAATCTGACCAGGGAGAGACACAGAGGGGAAGTGAGAAAGCAAGCTGCCAGGTCTAAGTCTTGAACTGTGGTTGGCCATTCAGGCGTCCAGTGCCTTAACTACCACATCACCTGCAGGACCCTGCATATGGGCTCTTAGAGACTCTGTAAGTAAACACAGTGGGGCTGATGGATTGAAGGATTTTGTACAGTCAAAATCCAGAGGTAGACTCAACTACCAGGAAGGAACCATGACTCCATCCCTAAGAGGTAAATAACAAATCTTAGTTCCAGGTGTGTTTCAGATCACAATTCTACCATCTGTATCTAATGGGCTCTTTACAATGAACAGTGGCACTGACCATAATTTATTCTGTATGCTTTACCATGAGTGGATGACCAGGGAGGACAGAGATTTATGGACTTAAGTCCAGGGGCCTTCTGCCGCAGTGCAGTGCTCTTTAATGTTCAATTTCACATGGGAAAGACCCAGGTTCTAGTCCCAGGGTCTTCATGTAACTTTTTGGTACCCAGTAATCAGGGATGGCTGGAGGTGCCTCTCTCTGATGGAAGAAATAAACCTTAAAAAAAAGAGGCCAACAAGTGGCATGGTGGTTGAAGGCTCTGGAGTCCCACACAACCAACCATGGTTCGAGTGCTGGACCTGGCCGCTTGCTTTCTTTCTCTGACTGGTCAACTTGAAAAATAGTAACAAATGGAGTTAAATAAATAAATCTTTTTTTTAAAAGAAAAGAGTGGGATCAGCAGTTCGCGTAATGGCTATGTCGCTGGACTCCCACATAGTCGACTGCGGTTCGAGTCCCGGACCCGGTGGCTTAAACTCACGCTGGGCGCGTGTGCGTGCGTGCCCGCCCAAGATCCTGAGAGGAGAATGGAGAAGGGATTGAGGAGTGGCCATCCCCCCTGGGGGGTGATTTCTCGCTTTCTGTCTCTCTGTCTCTGTCTCTCTCTGCCTGGCGGGTGCACATGCCCTATAGCAAAAAGCTCTCAAAAAAAAAAAAAAAAAAAAAAAAGAGCGAGCTGGAATGATCCCTTGGAGAATGAATAAGAGGTAGAGGGCTCTTGTCATGGGCTCAAGACCCTAAGAGAGCTTCATGTGATGGGCAAAGGGCAGTGGGGATGAGGGGGAGAGTGTCTGGCTCCACTGAGGCAAGCCTAGGTTTGGGATGAGAAGACGGTAGTGGGGGGGGAGTAAAGGACCAATTGTTTTAGGGGGTGACATCCAGATAAAAGCCCAGTAGGGCACTGTACATGTTATGACTATCTTCTTTACCTGAGGACCCTTGAGAAAAATTTGTTTTTATTTCAGAACTGGGAGTAGCTATGACAGCTCTAAAAAACAAATCGGATTTTATCTTACAGACTCAGGGAATCATGTACCTAATCATGTGTCCTTTGATAACAAAATGATCCAAATGTTTTGTCTACCTCTAGCAAAGACTGATCCCTAGAGCACTGTGAGGCACGGTTCTTACCGCTTTTCATAATCGCCAACTCAGGCAATCAATCCTCCCAGCAACACTAAATGGGTATTCACTATTACGATGTCCCCAGTACAGTAAGCATGTTTCCCAAATGAGAAAATCCAAGGATAATCTTGGTAAAGCAAACTGCCTAAGGTCGTGGATGTACTAAGTGGCACAGTTAAAATTAGTACCCAGGCAGACTGGCTCCTCGGTCCAAGCTCTTTCCTGTCTCATAATAAGTAAAGCATTATATTAAGACACTTTTTTGCTGCTAGAGGGCACATACACTCATCAGAGAGAGAGAGAGAGAGAGAGAGAGAGAGAAAGTGCACTCCCCTCACCCCCCACACCATGGGGCATGGTCATGCCACATTTCCTGCTTCTCCATTTCCACCTTTCAGGGTCTGGGGCACGCATGCACACACAGCCGGTGTTTCTAGAACTGTCTGTCCAGGACTCCAACTGCAGGGTTGGCCATACGGGATCTGTTGCCTCAACCACCAGGTCACAGAGCCACTTCTGTGTGGCTTCATTTACAGATTTGAAAACTCCTGAGATTCCAACAGAGCAAGCTGTTTCACTCTAAGGAACGACACCCCAGACCCGGAACCTTCCTTATGCCAGGAGAGATTTGGGGATTGAAGGCAGGTAGGCTGTTAGGTGATGAGAGGCTGAAATCTCGCTTTTGAACTTTTCAGTTTGCCTGGAGTCAGCCACAGGGATTTCCTCAGACCTAGTCGAGGGCAAGCCTGGTAGCTTGCTGACCCTTTGGCCCTCAAGGCCCAGGCGGTGGTTAAACAATATGGGTGAATGACACCTTACCCCCACACTGCTGTCTTGTGCCCTACTCTTTCCTCCTAGCCACTTCCTGCCGTTTCTATTTTCTCAGAAATCATGACTCTGCTTCATCCTTCCTCCTGTCCTCACCTGAATTCCCTTCTCCAACACCGACTCCAGCGTTTAGAGACTCTAGTGAACCTAGGCGAGTAGACAGGAGAGAAACATTTCATTTACTGGCTCTTTATATATTCTTTCTTATTTTTCCTAATACCACTCTCTGCCTTCAATCCAACTTTTTCCTGCAAAACTATATCAAGTGTGTCTTATTTTTGTTAAGTCACTCCAATTCACACTGGGAAAGTGTAGAAAGGCATTAAGAATATGAATCTCTATATATGTTACATATATAGGGCCAGCAGGAGATATGGAGATTAAGGCACTGGATCCCACATGGCTCGCTGCACGGCTTGCATACTGGACTCAGAGACTTGATAATCACACAGGTGCTGCTTGCCCAAAATAGACAGAAGGAAGGTTTCGCTGTAGGGCCAGTCCCCCAGAGGATTGGTTGGTTTCTAACTTTCCCACTTTCTTTCTTTCTCTCTGGCGAGTGCATGTGCCCTAGAATTTAAAATGAGTAACTACGCTATTTAACATATCTGTAAATATACATATACACTAGTTGGTTCCCACAGCACTTGATGTTTTGCTTAAAAACTGTAAATTTCGTAAATGAAAGCCAATGTTGAACACGCATGCTGGACTTGGACTCCTTGAGATCTGAATGACATACATAAAACCAAGCACAAATTTAAGTATTACATTCTTAAACAGCATATTTTGTGAAATGGTTGTCTCACTAGGGGTTGAGATCTAGGAGGGTGAGCTCAGAAAGCGAGGATAGGGAACCAGCAGTTAGCATAATGGCTATGTCGCTGGACTCCCACGTAATTGACCGTGGTTCGAGTCCTGGACCCTGTAACTTAAAACTCACGCCGGTCGCGTGTGCGTGCATGCCCAAGATCCTGAGAGGAGAATGGAGAAGGGATTGTGGTGTGGCCATCCCCCCCTGGGGGGTGACTTCTCGCTTTCTGTCTCTGTCTGGCGAGCGCACGCGCCCTATAGCAAAAACCTCTCAAAAAAAGAAAGCAAGCGAGGAGACAGACGCCTGGATAAATGGGAGCTGGGGAGTGGGAGGAGTCGCAGCCGCCCCCGCCCCTTCCCGGCTTCAGGCAAAGCACGCGATGCTGGTCGGACTTCTCTCCAGTCCGACTAGAGGACAGCCACCGGGTCGTCTCTAGAGGCGTTCTCCATTTATGACAGCCCCAACCAAAAGTGGCGAGGTGGGAAACGTGAGCCCGGTATCCTCCCGCCCCGAAATTTCGATTTCCCTTTCCCCCCCGTCACCTTCGCTCGGAAGCCGGGAGGAGGCCCAGCCCACCCCTCCAGACACACAGCACCGCCGAGGGCTTCCCGAGAGCCCTCCCGCCAGCGCAGTCACGGTCAGCGGCGCCGCAGCCGCTCGGGGTCCCCAGACCCACCTGCGGCTCGGGCGCCAGCGACGACCCCGCGACCAAGGGCAGCGCAGAGCTCAGCCACCTGCGTCGGCGGAAGCCGCACCTCGGGCCCCGCCATTCGCCACGCACGCACGGACGAGAGGGGTGGCCCCGGCAAATCATCTCCCTTCTCCCCCCTAATGTTTGGCCTCCTCATCTCTTTAAGAGATTTAAAGTGTTATCAATAACTAAAGAATAACTCTTTGGTCCCAGGTGGCTCGACTTGTTGGAATAAGCACCAGCGCCCGCCTAGAGTCCCGCCGCTCCCCCCCTCAAGATGGTATCGTCCTGGGTCTTCCCCGCCTCCGCGCCTCGCCTCCGCTTCGGCCCCCCCCCTCCTCTTTCAAAAGGGCGCCCGCCATGGAGGGCTCTCTGCCGGCCGGTCCTCCCGGGCGCTGCTGAGCGACCATCCGCTTTTCTCCCTCTGGACCCTGGATTCGACTGGGGGTTGGGAAGGGCAGTGGACGGCGTTGGGGGAGGCCTGACGAGGCAAGTGAGGACGGGGGAGGGGCGCCGTCGGCCCTCCCGGAGAGCGGCTCCCGCTCGGACCAGGCTCCCCCGAGGACGTACTCCGCCCTGGTGGTTCCTGGGAGCCGCGCTCCGCGAGGGGAGGACACGGGACTTCTCCGGGGGTCTAAAACTCTCGGTTCTTCGGTGGCCGCCCGCACGGCTCACTCCCGTGCGCGCCTTCCCTCCTTCTGCTGTGTGCCTCTGCCCTTTCGGTCTCGTGGCGCTGCAGGAGCAATCCCGCGCCAGCTTTGGCTCCTTCGTCTCGTGGCCACGGGGTTCTTAGCTTCCCGGCTCAGGTCTTCCGGTCGCCTCGGGTTAAGAGACCACAGGCATGGGGCACAAAGTAGACGCCCTCTAGTCCATCGACCCGAGACCTTTCAGATGTTTGTACGGCGCTCTGATTAAAATGGTCTCGGGTCTCTGCGCCCCTCACCCGTGGCCCTGGAGCGCTCGCACGGTCACTGCAGTTCCCAAGATCTCTTTGATTTGGTACCATTTTACGAGTTTTCTTCAGGAACAAAAGGTCAGGTTAGCTCCAACCCTGGAAGTCTGGCTTCCTGTGGCCTGGAGGAGCTGAGCTATCATTCATGCTCATCTGGTTTTTAATTTTACAGCCTCTTTGATCCCGTTATGAAACTTCTGCTCCCTCCAAGCCGACCACGAAGACACTTTTCACTCAGTGAGCTTCAAGGTTCACCCAGAGCCCTTCATTTTTCCTTGGATTTTGTGTAGTTCCCTTTAGTTGTCATCAACATGCAGGATCATTATTGAGAAAGCAGATAACTGAGATATTTGTGAGATAAGGTAGTATCCGTCAGAATCACCTCCATGCAACAATGTGCTAGATGGGGT